CGCGACTCCTCTCAGATAGGCCTTCATTGTATCCCACACTATTGCGCGGGATGTGCCTTTGTTTTCATTTTCCTTAAAAAAGAGGTTTATTTCTTCTTTGAATTTTTGTATACAGTCTTTGTCGCCCAATAATTTAGCATTTAACCTCCACCTCCGTTGGTATTTTCTCTGAACAAGCTTCCATCTAATTTCTAGTGGATTATGATCTGCCCAGTCATTTGGGTTAATTACAGCTGTTCCAATTTCTAACCCCAAATTCCTACTAACCCATGCCATGTCAATTCTGGACCATGACTTTTGTGCATTTGAAAAGAAGGTATATTGCCTATCGTTTGGATGCAAGGTACGCCAAATGTCAATTAAATCTAATTCATCGACTAACTCGAAAAAGGCTCTCGGTAAATTTGTCCTTTTATTTTTTTTTTTCTTTATTGCTCTTGTGGTCCTTCTCCGGATCCACAATGCCATTAAAATCCCCTATCATACAAATTTCGTTATATGCCATTTTCACTAATTGTTCATGGAGTTTCTTAAAAAATTCTCCCTGTTTTTTATTTGGGGCATAAATGCCCACTAATAATACCTTGGAATTCCCTCTCTTAATTTCAATCATGAGGATTCTACCTTTTGTATCTTTGAATTTCAATTCTGCTTCAATTCCTTTTTTTACGTAAATTACCACCCCCCTCTTCTTTTTCTCTGCTAGCGAATCGAATGTTTGACCGAATTTTTTATATTCTAAACATTTACTCTCTTCTTTTTTTATGTGTACCTCTTGTAAACACATTATATCAACATTTTGTTTGCCTAATTTTGTTAATATTCTTTTCCTCTTTTTGTAATCATTTAGTCCATTGACATTTACGGATATTAACTTCAGGTCATTCATCTCTATACCTCTATCTGATTATAGGTTCTTGTTTGTTTCTTATGGCCCTTACTGGTCTTGTTTTCTTCTCTTTGGCTTCTTCTTCTTCTTCTGTCTTCTCCTCTGCAGTTGCTTCGTTCGTATTCTGTTGGTGTGGGGCTTCCTCCTCCACTACTGCTGTTTCTAGTTCTTCCTTGCTACCCTGCTCTTCTTCCACACCTCTCAACTGATCAAGGAAATCTTGTGCTGTACTCAGGCTTTCTATTTTGATTTTTCTTCCTTGCCAGGTTATTAGCATCCCTTCTGGGAGAAGCCACCTGAATAGTATCTTTCTTTTATTCAACTGTATGGCTAGAAATCTGTATCCCTTCCTCATCTCCCGAACTCTTCTTGGTATCTGTTTTAGAATTATTATTTCTTTTCCTCGATATGTTATCTGTTCGTCTCTTGCCATGTTGTATAGAATATCTTTAACTTTTTTCCGTGCGAAGCGGATATGTACTTCTCTAGGGAGCTTGTTCCTTCTTGCGTAGTTGGTCTGGACCCTGTATACGTCGTCCAGTTCCCTGATTATCGCCTGTTTGTCTTGGTGAAGTGCATCCGCTATCAGCTCGGCCATCTTTTCACCTAGGTCTTCCTCTTTGTCCTCGACAACATTCTGAAATCGCAAATAGAAGGAAGCCTGGTCCATCTCCAATTGGATTATTGAGTCTTCTAACTCTTTATTTTGGCTTGTTAATGTTTGATCCACAATATCTAATTTCTTTTCAGTTTGGTCAATTCTTGTTTCAGCTTTTTGAATTCGTTGTTCATTATTGACTATTGATGTTTGGATTTCATTCATTTTCTGGTCCAATGCATGTATGTCTGATTTTAATTCGGCATGGTTATTTAACAGTTTTTCCTGCATTGCCATCATCGTTTCTTGGATCAAGGTTAATGATGCTTGCAGAGTTTGCATTGCCAGGCTTTCTGTTGATTTTAGTGTCGCCGGAGAGGTTGTCGTTATAGTGGGATTAGAGGGAGTCTTTTTTCCTGTTTTCCCCGCTGTGAGTGACATACTTGTCATTTCTTTCAAAATTTTCTTTTGCTCTCTAATTATCCTGTCGATGTTACTCCAAATTCTCATTCGCCAGTTAGCGCCTCTATTATCTTTTTTTTTTTAAGTATATATTTATATATATATATTCCTAAATCTAATTTTTCCTTCTAAATTTATAAACAAGTATAACTAGCTTAATAGATATGGGTTAAACAGTTCAATACTATACAATCAATATATCAGTTAATCAACAAGTCACAATCAATGTATCGATATAGCAATTAATTTGGCTAAATATTGTACTTTTAAATGCTTATAGTACTATAAATACTGTAAATGGAAATTTATGAATACTTGATTTTAAATACAATTACAATTTTAAATACTATAAAAATACTAATAAATACTGTAAATGCTAAGCAGCGGAATATAAATAGCAGATTTAAAATATCATAGCTTGAGAGTATATTATATATATCTAGACCAAGAAAATACTGAAATTCTTATATTACTAAATATTAATAAGTTGATATATAAAATATGTAAAGTTACTATAGATACAAGTGAGTATATTTAGATAATTAATTAAATGAATGCAAATCAAATAACACTGTATACTAGTATATCTTATAAGCAAGTCAAGTCAAGACTTAAATAGCCTAAAAATTAACAATTCTTATTAATGACACTATTACTATGTAGAAGGTCAGGGGGTTGAGGACAGAGTTATAAAAAGTAAAAAGATTAAAGAGGAAGGCTATCAAGATACAATAAGGGACAAATGGTATTTTCCACAAAGATAAAATTTTTTGATTTTGATTTTTTTTTTCACTCAGTCATCAATCTCCTCCAATCTCCTCCAATTCTTCCTTAGCCACAGCCAAAGCTCTATGATAAATCTCGCAGCTAGATTGTCTCTATGCCTGTCCTTTTCAGCTTTTGCTCTGTCAGGCTTCTTTAATGGCTGCACTTCCTGTTCTCCGATACAGGCAAGTAAGATCCGATCTTCAACTTAATTCACCTTCCCGCTATGGCCAGCAAATGAGGAACAAAATTTTCCTGAGTTCTTATGTGTTCCTTGCTCCACCAAACCTCTTTTTACGCAGACAGTTTCAGCGCCCTCAGACTTTCCTTTTCTGCGCCGGCTAGACGAGCTCTGTGCCTTGGCAAACTGCTCTTTGATCTCCAGCGCCGCTCGTTTCCACTCTGAGCCCCTCGCTCTCGTCTACACCGACCCCTTTTTGATGTTTAAATCCACATAGGCAGGGAAAGCAGGTTTCGATCACGCCACTGCCACCTCCGATCTTCCTTGCTTCCTTCTAGTTGTCAGCTCCCCACAGCTTCAAGTCAGCCATTAAAAGGCTGACTCACTCACGCTGGTTTGACAGAGCCGCCCGGATTTGCGAGAAGTGCTTGCGCTTCACTTTCTCGCTCGCCGGACTCCCTCTATTGTCCGCGGGGCTCTCCAGGTCCCGCGCCCCCGAAGGGATCCCCAAAACGTGGTGACAGGCAGTGTTGAGGAGTAGCGATCACTCACTCAGCACCATATCGCCGCAGCTCACCAACCGGAAGTCTGGCCAATAAAAAATTCTATTCCATTCTATTCTATTCAAGGGCTGACAGGAGTTGAAATTTAATATAGTTTTCTTGGTTTAATATAATCTGCCTTTTTCTACTGAAAATGCTTTGATAGTTTCTACTTTACAGTTGATTGTGATATAATCATTTTTGTCAAATAACTGTAATTGCTTCAATTGATTAATCTTTCTATTATACTTAGATGGATTCTTAATATGCTTCAAATGGTTGCATCATCTTATATCATGTTTTCACAATTTTTCTATGACATGTCTTTTAATACATTCTCAATTGATTTTCCTTTTTGTGCAGTCTTGATTCAGTGTTATTGTCTGTGGAGATGCTCACTCATCCAGATTCTAGTTGTCTCCAAGGTGCTTTTTCAAAAGGCAACTGGACTGCTTTTTCCTTGAGGAGGAAGAAGAAAACGTTTCACTTCTCATCCAAGAAGTTTAATCACTGATGAAGCATCTTGGGTGAGATGTGAAAAGTTTTCTTCTTCATTCCAGTTGCCTTTTGAAAAAGCATCTTTTTTTTTTTTGCTTTAATTTATATGCCGCCCTTCTCCGGAGACTCAGGGCGGCTTACAATGCGTTAAGCAATAGCCTTCATACTTTTGTATATTTATACAAAGTCAGCTTATTGCCCCCACAATCTGGGTCCTACCTTTGAAAGGATGGAAGGCTGAGTCAACTTGAGCCTGGTGAGATTTGAACTTGCAGTAATTGCAAGCAGCAGACTGACAGCAGTGCATCACTGAGATTCAGTGTTATTGTCTGACAGCAGTGCATCACAGACATTGTAAAAAATGGTAGATTTTGGCATCCAAATCCAGTTTGCATCTTAGTTTGTATTCAAAATAGTAAAGTTTATAAAACATTTGCAGCAAACACATTTTTCCATCTGTCATGGGGAAGCTACAGATTAATGTGGAATATCGATGGCTGAATTGCCAAGGTTACTTAGAATATTAGAATATTTTTCTCCACCTGAAAAAAGCAAGGGGATTCTGAATTGGATCAGGTGGAAGGGAAAGAGCATGAAAGATTAATCCATTCTTTACATAAAATGCCCAAGAACTTCATGTTGGAGCTTCATATTGTCTATCAACAGTCATATAGATGTGTTGTAGATTGTTTTTAGCAATTTCCAATAATAATTGTAGATGCCAAGGATAACTTTTTTTCCTGGCAAACCACACAATGGGTAAGACCCTTGTTTTTGTGGTTAATCATAATAAACTGATTTGCATTTGCTTACTCAGAAAGTAGGCTAATAATTAAGCCTGATTTCCCTTCCCTTTCCTGGAACCATGTTTTTAAAGGAATTCAGATCCATGCAGATGCTTTTAAAGATGAAAAAAAAGACACGAATCTCCCAGTATAGTATCTTTGACTCCTACTGTCACTGAAAATTGTTAGTTTATGTTGGAATATGCTGTTTGTAATTGCCCTTAAACTGAGTTTCATTTTCTCAAGTAACATTAGGGTGTCACTCATTTTTTTTCTTTAGGAAACAGCTATTTAGAATTGTGCAAACTGAGATCTTAAACAAGGCATGTAACATAAACATACACAAATCAGTTCAATATTTGAAAAAGGAGGATCCTTTCTGCAATTTCATTAAACCATGCAGATCTCTGAAGATTGCAATCCATCTGTCAAGACTTTCAAGGTCACCAATGCCAACTTAGAAAACTTTGTAAACCGGAAAGGTACCCAGGAGGAAAATTAAATGAAGCAGCTTCTATCTGAACTGAAAGGTAAGCGAAGTCTACCTTTCCTGCTTGTTTGAGGGAGAACTATCCCCATCTGACACACCAACTTCAAATAGCATTACTGTGTCACGATAGCATTCAGTTCCTCTTGAATGAAGCTGGAGATGACAGGCCTCCTGCTTTCTTTCTGCTCCCTGACGAGCTGCCTGCATAAATATCTGCTTGGGGAGATCATACCAGATGGAAAGCACAGACTTGACTTATTGAGAAGAAAATCCTTCTGAAATGAATAGTTAACACTCTTGGAGGAGAGTGAGCTCATCCTTATCCCATAAACTAAATAATCATTTCTGAGGCAGAAATCTTTGCCCTAGCAAGCAGTTTTCAATCACGCTCACTAGCATTTTACTTTTTGCCTCTCATATGTTAGCATATTTCCCCCTTCCCAATTATAAACATAAACTGGAATCAAGATGCCAAGTTGATCAATGCCAAACAAGACATAGATTTCAAAAGACACATTTGCAAGGTTTCTTCCTGTTTGTATAACACCAGTACAAAGGTGAGAACAGAGGTGAGTTTCAGCAGGTTCTGACCAGTTCTGGAGAACCGGTAGTGGAAATTTTGAGTAGTTCGGAGAACTGGTAAATACCACCTCTGACTGGGCCCATCCCATCTATACTCTGCCTCCCAAGTCCCAGCTGATCGGGACGAAATGGGGATTTTGAGGTAACCTTCCCCTGGAGTGGGGAGGGAATGGAGATTTTACAGTATCCTTCTCCTGTCACGCCCACCAAGCCATGCCCACCCAGCCATGCCATGCCCACTAAGCCACACCCACAGAACTGGTAGTAAGAAATTTTGAAACCCACCACTGGGTGAGAATCAGTTTGGGTTCTTCATCACTGGAGACTTTTAAGAAGAGACTGGACAGCCACTTGTCTGAATGATATAGAGTTGCCTGCTTGAGTAGGATGTTGGACTAGAAGGCCTCCAAGGTCTCTTTCAGCTCTATTATTCTGTATCGGTATCAAATAACTCCTTGGGTAACAGAAAAGGGAATTTCTCTTCTGACTACACACAGAAACAACAAATGAGATGTAATCTAAACATGGGATGTGAGGTTGAGGTTGACTTTAATTTCTAACATTCTTCATCTATGGCCTTGATGGCAATGGTTTATTGGAGTTGTATCTCTATGGTATCTATAGCAGGAGTGAAATACTCCCGGTTCAGACCGGCTCGGGGTAGTAGGTAGCGATGGCGGCGGGCAGTTCGGAGAACCGGTAGCAAAAATCCCTGCCCCCGCCCCCCGCCCCCCGCCGCACGATCATCAGAGCCTTTTTTTCCTTTTAAATGGCTCTGACGAGCCCAGCTCTGACGAGCCCAGCTGTGTTGCCTGCTAATCAGGCAACTCAGCTTGGATTGTCATACCCATTTAAAAGAAAAAAAGTTTCTTTTTTTCTCTCCACCCCCCCAGCCTCCAGCTTGCTTACCTTAGCTGCTGGTCGCAACACCTGCCTTGCTTCGCTTGCTTTAATACCTGCAATCCATTGCATCAGCAAGAAACTGAATCTCCCTGGCTGCAATCAAGCTCATCGGTGAGCAGCTCTATCTGCAACTTTAAGACTTGTGGACTTCAACTCCCAGCAAAGCTGGCTGAGGAATTCTGGGAGTTGAAGTCCACAAGTCTTAAAGTTGCTAAGGTTGGAGACCCCTGTTCTATTGGGTAAGTTTTTTTCTCCTTTGGGAGCTTTAAAAAAATAGTTAATTGGGGTTTTTTTTAGTTATTCTTTTTTTAGACCTAGCCATTTAAACTTTAGGAAGTTTTAAATTTAGCTGCTTTTATATAAAAATAAAAATAAATTAAAATAAAATAATATTTGTGCAGCTTTCTGAGATTTAGTGTGTCTCTGTAATGTTTCACTCTAACTACACAAACACACAAAATCTCACAAAGCTGTATGTGGAATTTTGTGTGTGTAAAGTGTGAAAGTTGGTTTTTTGGGCTTTTTGTGGCTGTGTGAGGTTCCTGTTTGTTGCAGGGGCCATTTTGGGTCTAGCACAGCTGCTTTTACATTGTGGGTGAGCCAGTTGTGTTGTGTTGTGTGTGTATAAAATGTGAAAGTTGTTGTTGTTGTTGTTGTTGTTTTGGCTTTTTGTGGCTGTGTGAGGTTCCTGCTTGTTGCAGGGGCCATTTTGGGTCTAGCACAGCTGCTTTTACATTGTGGGTGAGCCAGTTGTGTTGTGTTGTGTTTTGTAGGTTAAAAAAGGGCAAAGAAGTGACATTGACTTGGCCACGCCCACCCAGTCACCTTACCACCAAGCCCCACCCACTAATTAAGCCATGCCCACAGAACCGGTAGCAAAAATTTTTAGATTTCACCCCTGATCTATAGGACTATATTTTGCTTATCCTTTACATAAACGATACTCTATTTTGGCAGCTTGCGTCAATTTTAATGTGGTTTTATAGGTTCAAAATCAACACATTTCCCATCATACGTATTTCTTTTTCTGAAAGTCTTACAACACTGCATGTTCCGACATAATAATGTCACAGTGGTATGAAATAGGCACAATAAAATTACTTACTACTTTGTTGAATGAATAATCCAATATCTGCACAAAATTCAATTATAGCAGTTTGGTTGGTGTCAGGAAATACAATTGCTTTGGCCTTGAAAAAAAGCTTTGTATTCTGAAGAGAATTCTTACATGTGCTGCTGCTCATTTTTTAAATGTGGGACTGAACAATATTCTTATGAAGCATATATTTTTTGTTCACAGTCATCTGTCTGTTGCGGATGGGGAATAAATCTTGATACCCGAGAAAACCTTTGGAAAAGGTGACTTCTGAGCTGGAAGTGTGTAATAAGACCAATTTGATACATGATCTCCTGCTATGTTGCCTAAAGGAAAGCATGATAGTAAATATTAACAGGATCATGAGCTACTATCTTTACTTTCTCTAGGGTGGAGCAGCACTTTAGAAGATTGCAAATCCCTAGACACAGGCATAGGCATTAACTCAGTTCAAGGTCAAAGTAAACAGAATTGCCAAAACCTAGTGATAAATATTCATTAAAAGAGTGAGTATGGTTGGAGATTTTCTATAAAGCTTCACAACAGGACATTGGTGTACCATGGATTAAAAAAGATACACAGAGAGGACATGCACATTTGAACTATAATGGAAAATTGCTCCAGTGTTTGGTCTGCAGCTGATATCTTAAAGACAGGAAGTTTGTCAACCTCTCTCAGAAGCAGGTAGCATCAGGGTATTACTGGGTAGACCTCCTGTCTCTGCACTTCTGCTTTTCCTGTTTTTTGACTCTTTACACGGAAAGTGGCATTTTTGTAAGTTAGGTAGATGAAACTTGAAGTCTGAATTACGATGCTTGGAGTCAGGATTGGTCCAAATGTTACCACTGTTGCTAGGGCTGGATATTTTTTTTTATATATATGATATCCCAATGAGTCCATCTTGACTGAAGTTCAGTCTGATGAACTTCAATCAAGCGATCATCAACCCTTTCTTTCATGACTTCATGGTGTCTAACAACTCAGAAGGAGGATTACTATCCAAGGTAATGCTGGAGAAGCAGTTACTACTGGGATCTTGTGAAGGGAGATTGCCAATTATCTTGATCTGAATCAGACAACAGATCTGGATAAAAATTCCTGAGTTTCCAGAGCGTATGCTACTCTGATACACTGTGTATACTGTATATGCTTAGTGTATGCTAAGATGCTTTATAATTTTGGCATCATTCAGATGTCCTTGACCAAAATCATCTTTCAATCTGTTCTCAGAATTTTTTTTTAAAAAATCAGGCTGACATGAGCATGTGTTCAGCAGGTAGGATATCTGCAATCACATTCCAAATGGCATTCATTGTGGTGAGAAAATAAGTACTTAAGAAACCCTGTCTCAAACCCTGCCCCAAATATTAAAACAGTATTAAAATGTTTATAAACCTGAATTAATACATGTTGACACTGCAATTGAGAAATGTTGGCTTGCGGTAGGAACATCTGGCATCACATATTCTTGGATGGCAAAAGAAAAAAATGGATGTGAATTGAACTCTAGAATGAGATTAAAGGTAAAAAAAAAAGAAATAAAAATGCAGTCATTTTCTTTCTTTGAAGATTATCAGACAGTTCTACAGCAAGTCCAAATCTCAACCATTTGGATTTTGTCTCTTCATCTACCAGAGGAAATACAATCTAATTGAATCAAAGCCTTCCTATCTTCCCGTGACAGAACAAATACAAATAGTAAACATATTGTAACTATCCACTGCTGCAAAACTTTGTTATTGCTTTGGAATGCTTTGGATTGATTATATGCAAGTACATAGAAAGATAGATTTTCTCCATGATGATGTGTCCCGAACCTTCAATTTGCTTAATGATGCTCCCCTCACCATGATAACTGGAGATCATTCACCTGGCTGCTACTTGCCATCTTTCCTTCCACCTTTCCCAACATTACAGCCTTCTCCAAAGAGTTCAGTTTCCACATAATGTGTTCAAAATACAGTATAATTTTAATATCAGTTTCTTTTCTATGCTGTTGTCACCTAATGTATGCAGCTTGCTGAACATTTGGGATGTGATAGTGAGAGATTAAGAGACACCTCAGTGGAGGAACTGACAGTTATCTTGGTTAGGATGAATTGCTATCATCAAAATGAATGTACTATTGTAATAAATTATTACAAATGGCACCAAACAGAATTTCAGAGAGAACCTTATAAGAGTGACAAGAAACTGTCAGTAGACTGAGGAAAAGATCCTAGCCCTAACCCTTCTAAATTTTAAAGTATAAGTCATAAAGTGAAGTGCCAGTTTAAAAAAAAAAGTACTTGAAAGATACATAGTAAAATGCAAAAAAAAAAAAAAAAGGAATTTAAATCTGAAATGAAACCTCAACTTTTCTTACCAGGTATAATCTCAGAAAAAAATAACCAACAAGAAAGACCATGATTTAATGGGATATATGCTTACAGCTGGGAGAATAAATTTTGCTC